AGAAACAGGAGACAAGAGAAACGAAGGAAAGAGGAAGAGAGAATTGAATGAAATAAATAAATGAAATCCAAGAAAGTCGTCAAGAACTTTTTGCAGCTACTGCTCAGCATTCATTAGGAGCAACTAAGAAAACTGCGAAAAATGTGAAACATTATGGCTTGGGAATCGGATCAGTAGCCCATCGAATAAGAGGAATCATTCGAGGTCATCCCACGGGGCGTCAATGCCGTGCGGCCGTAAGTTGCACCGAACAACCGACACAAACTCTCTCACACTAGCTGAACGTTCCCACGCAGCAAAACAGCTGCAAGACTCCGTCCGCCCCAAATACTTCGTTGCTTGGTTTTTACATTAGTTTCAATCAGAATGATAAATCAGTGTAGCAATGGGGCAAGGTTCTGGAAAACAACTACACCACCCCAATGAACAATGGACAGTTATTGATTACTATTGTCAGCTGCATGGTGTTGTAATTTTTATTATTACTAGAGCAGGGCGCTCCTTTCGGAGCTCCTCGGGGGGTTGGTTGCGTTTTAAAATCTTGTGTAAGAAACTAAACTGGAATGGGGGGTTAAAACACTTGACCAACCCCCATTCGGGGGAGTTGGTTGCGTTTTAAAAACTTAAATAACCCCCCTTCGGGGGAGGGTTAGTTGTGTTTCAAAATCTTAAGTAACACACTAAACTAACCCCGCTGTCTCTATCTGATATTATACTTCTTTACGTCGATGTTCAGAGGCCAACTGTTATTGGTCAGTCAACTTTCTACGTCCAGCCCCACCCTTACAAATCTTCGTCTGCTTTTTCCTCTTCTGTTTTTATTGAATACGTTTTCCTACGTTTATCAATGTGGATTTCCCTTCGGTTTTCTTTATTTGTTAGATAGGTCAGGTTTTTAAGTTCCTACGTCGCTATTCAGAGGACAATTGTTCTTGGTCAGTCAACTTTCTACGTCCAACCCCACCCTTGCAAATCTTCGTCTTAAAATCGATCATAATAGTTTTCGTAATCGTAATATATAGAGTATATATGAGTAGGATTATTAGTATCACTTTACCTTGTTGCAGTTGGATTTGGTACTTCAAATAGTTGATAACTTCTTTCACTTTTCTGATGTTTTAGACCAACTGTCAGTCAATTTTTAATAATGCGACGTGCTGCTTCTGTAGCAGTGATAATGCGACTGGCTTGGTAGTGAAGCGTTATTTGTTTACTCGGCATTGTTGTGTTGTAATCGGCATTGTTGTGTTCCACAACAATGCCGAGTTTGTTTATAGTTGACATTGTTGATGACGTCATTTCTTGAAGACAACGAGGAATCACAAATTTTTATAATATATATAATAGAAGATTATGAATTTAATTAAATTATCATTATTATTATCGCAGCAGTTTGTTATTATTGCTATTGCATATTGAGTAAATGAAAGGAAGTTTGTCGAAGAAATTCTGCTAATCTACACACCAGTACTTACTTCTTAAGTTCCAGAACTATGGGTTGAATTGTATCAAAACAAAAAGTGCATTGTATGACATGAACTACACTAGAAACCAAACAATGTTCCCCCCCTCTGCGTTTTAGATTTCCTGAAACATCATACTTTATCTTGGGTTTCGTTAAATACCGATAGAAAACGAAGGTTGTATGTATATACGAAATAGGCCTGTATGATGCCACGCGTAGATACACGCGTCTTTATTATGTGTTTACATATTAGTGAGCTGACAATAACGGGATATTATTTTCCTACGTATTCTTATATTAATTTTTCAAGAAAGTTGATAACTAGCCATTTGGGCTTACAAAACTCTGTAATCACAAATCTATCCTCTCACGTATATGTAGGTTCGTTTCCTATCTATAATTACCAGAATTAAATACGCGGCACTTCACAACGAAACATCCGTTATTTTAATCCCGTATATTATAAACAGGGTGTGGGTATCTGAAGTGGGTTGTACAGGTGACAGGATAGGACCCATATAATAGCTTTAGTGAACGTGGTGATGAGCTTTCACATTTTATAAACGCAGGAACCGGATGAATAATCTATATAATCATTAGCTGCTCTTGTAAGCTTCTGTTCAACGTACTTCATTATAACGCTCAGTTAAATGTCGTAAAACACATTGGTAGCATACTGTGCTTCCTGGCCTGACCTGTATAATAATATTTACATGGGCCATATTTCGTTGAAACTGGTTTTGAAGCCTCAAATTTTTCCTTTAGTTTAAAGAAAAGATCCAAGAATTTTAATTTCCAAAACCTTTACATTCATACCCGCGACTATGTGAGCAATTTTTAACTTTGATTACAGTCTGAGTTATTCAGTTACTTATAAAGTCAAATATAAGGGAATGTCATAAAAGTAGTAGGTCGAAGACTGGTTTAATAACATTTCTAGGAAATATTACAATTTTATTAATATTATAGTGCCTTCAGGTTTGAAAGCCATTACGCTCATCTCTGACCAATCGGTTTCCCAAGTACGTTTCTTGTCATTCAATTCAATTCAATTAATTTAATTAAGTGTTTGCCAACAGCAAGAAGCCAATAACAGGCAAACACTGATAATACATACAATAATAATGAAATAATAATGGATAATAGTAAACAAACGGATTAACTAAACTTATACATGTACAGTATTAAATGTAACTGCCAAGTACAGGCAAACCCAAAATAGAAACAATATTAACACAGAGCAAAATTGAAGAAATATAAATAAAAACAAATAATCCACCTAGGGAACACTAATATAATTGTAAAACTTTAAAAAATATAAAAATACAGATAACGAAGCTAGATCATTTCCCTTGTTGAGAACGTTCGCTCAAGGAGACAATGTTTATGCTAAATACGTCCAAAGATTTACATACGTCATTTGCAGCGATGACGCACCTGGCTGAAGGGCCATGTCTTAGCGCACTGCTCACACTAAAAGTAGAAAATTCTCTTATTTGCCTCGCCGGCACACGTAAACCAACAGCGTCCATAACGGAATGGCAATTTATTTTGCCGTTAAAGACATTAATAAGAAATAACGCATCGAGATGTCGTCGTCTGGAATAAAGTGTTCTAAAATTTAAAGTAGATAGGATCAGTTCATATTTGCGGGGGATATTAAACTAGAAAAATCGGTAATTGCACAAACTGGCAAATTTTCTTTGAATATTTTCTAATTTATTAGAATCTGTCTGTGTAAGATTATTCCAAACGACCGAGGCATACTCAAGCTTTCAGTAATACGAATAAGTTTAAACGAATTATACCTAGAATATACTTTACTAGCAAAAATACACTCATTCAGGCTAAACTCTTTAATTACAGAAGAAAGATTAAAAT